TTCAGATGCACAGAAAAAGACCATGGCTTGAATCAGGCACACCCTACTCCTCAAACTGACATCATCAGTGCTCTTCAGTAATTTGGAGAGGTCTCTGACTGCAGACTTTACCAGCTCAGAATGTCTCCTGATCTCCTGACTGCTGGTACCAAATATAATGATTGTAGATCCAAGTAAGATGAAATTGTTGATAGTTTCGCTTTTTTTTTCCTTTTAACATGTGGCCTGTTGTTCCGTTGGTGAGAACTTTTGGGTTGTTTTTTTTTTTACATTGAGATGCAATCCATATTGAAGGCTGTAGTCTTTTCTGTAGTAAATGCTTCAAGACCTTGTCGCTTTCCGCAAACAAAGTTGGCTCATATGAATATTGAAGGTTGTTCATGAGTCTTCCTCCAATCCTGATGCCACATTATTCTTCAGAGAGTCCAGCTTCTCAAATAACTTACTAAGCATGCAGATTAAGTAGGTTTGGAGGAAAGATATAATATAATCTTGATGTTCACCTTTCTTAATTTTAAACCATGTAGTGTTCCTTTGCTCTGTTTGCACAACAGACACTTGGTCTAGGTATAGTTTACGCATGAGCATAATAAAGTGTTCTGGGATTCTCATTTTTTATGATCCACACATTTAAATACTTTTTGATAGTTAATAAAGAACAAATAGACATTCTTCTGATATTCTTTGCTTTCAGCAAAGATCCATCTGACATCAGCAATGACATCCCCAGTGCCTTACCCTCTTCTAAATCCAACTTAAACTCACAGTTCTCCGTCTGTGTCCTTTTTTAGCCATTTTTAAAAATTATCTTCAGTTATATTTTGCTTGCATGTAATATTAATGATATTGTTTGATAATTTTTACATTCTTTTGAATAACCCTGCCACCCTGATGGCAAGGATGGTGAAGCTTTGTCTTTCACACTTTGATACATATCTAGGAGAGACTTGGAAAGGGGCATCATGCTTGGAAATTGAAGGTCTGTGAAAGAATGGAAGACCTTCAATGGTGACTTCAGTAACAAACTTGATCATGTCATGAATGATGAAGATGGCACAGGGTGGGACAGGATTCAGGTCTGTTGTTCATCAGGTCGCCTCTGTCCTGCTTGAGTCAGCAGCACCTAAAAACAAAATTCAACTAGATGGTTTTTTGACAGAATCATTTTAGCTCGGATGTTTTCTTTTTATAATCTCTAATCTTTATTTCAAGGAGCTCTGGTAGCCTAACAGTAAGAAGATGCATTTTAATCCCTAAGGTGCATGGTTTGAATCCAGCAATTGGTCTATGAGAGGATTGGCAGTCCTCTCCCATGTGATTTATTGTCTCTGAAAACTGACTGGAGGGTCAGCTAGGAGTCAGTTCCAACTTAATAGCACACACTAACAGCACTCTTTGTTTCTTTAGGTCAGTATCAGTCCTTCATCACCCAATTTTCATTTAATAATATATAGTGTAGGTGTGTGACTCAAAGATATGACTCCAAATCAAAATACCTCTCTAACTTCACTTTTCCTTTCAAAGGACCAAAATTACAAACCAGAAATCAAGATCCTTAGCCCTTGTAGTGGATCTCTGGTGGCTTTCTAGTAAGGAATTGCCCTGCCAACCCAAAGGTACGTGGTTCAAATTCACTACCTGCTCTGTTGGAGAATAATGGGCAGTCTCCTCCCATGTAATTTATTACCCTTAATAAAACCCAATGCAGGAAGCTGTGGTTGCTTAGGAGTAAGGAATTGCACTGCCAATGCAAAGATAAACAGTTTGAATCTATTAGCTGTTCTGCAGGAGAAAGATGGGCGGTTCCTCCTGTGTGATTCACTACCTCTGAAAACTCACTAGAGGGTCAGCTACAACTCAACAGTACACACCAACAACAACAGCTACAACTTACTGGAAGATCAGCTGTGGTTTGGTTCTGACTTGACAGTACACAACAACAACAACAACAGCCCTTATAGCATAGTGTATTATATGTTGGGCTGCTAAAACAAAACAGTGATGTGAGCTCACCAGCCACTCATGGGATAAAGATGATGTGGGCTCCTCCTGATGGTATTTACAGCCTTAGAAACTGATAGAGGATCACTATGCATTGGAATCATCTCAGTAACAATGAGTTTGGTTTTTCTTTAGAGGCAAAAAGAAGTGTGCTCTGGTGGTGCAATGCTGAATGTACTCACTAGCTACCCAAAAGGTGGGCAGATCTAACTCACCCGCTGTCCCTCACTCTTCTGTAATGACTACAGCCTCATAAACCCTTTGAGGCTGTTATACTCTGTTCAGTAGTGTTGCTGAGAGTCAGAACTGTCTGGGAGGCATTAGCTTTAAGGTGAAAATGTGTGCTTATTTCTGAAATGAGATTGTTGTTGTTGTTATGTGCCACTGAGTCGCTTGTGACTAATAGCGACCCTATGTACAAGAAGCCCTAAACCTCCTTCTATCTTGTGCCGACCTCGCCGTCTCAGACACACTCATTCCCACCACTTCACTCACAGAATCGATCCATCTCATCAAGGGTCTTCCTCTCCTGTGCCATTCCTCCACTCTCCCAAACATGATGTTCCTCTCCAAGGACCAGTCCCTCCTTGCAACATGCCCAAAGTGTGTGAGACGAAGTTTCAGAATCCTTGACTCCAAGGAGCACCCTCTCTAGGACAAACCTGTTTGTTCTGGCAGCAGTCCATGGTATATTCAACACTCCTCCAGCACCACAGCTCAAAGGCATCAGTTCTCTTTCTATCCCTTATTCACTGTCCATCTCTCTGGTGCATAGCACGTAATTACAAAGACTATAGCTTAGATCAAGCACACCTTCGTCTCCAGCCTGATGTCGTTGCTCTTCAGTACTCTTGAGAGATCCCTAAGCTGACTTTCCCAATGCAATTTGTCTCCTGATTTCCTGGCTGCTGTTACCAAGAATGTTGACTGTGGAACCAAGTAAACTAAAACTGTTAGCTATCTCAATCTCTGCACCATCCATACTGATCTTGCCAATTGGCCCAGTGATGAGATTAGTATTTCTTTTTATTCTTTCTTTTCTAATTGTGTCTTTTTGTTTGAGAATATAGTCTGAGACTTAGCAGTGAATTGGAAAACAATACTTAAGCTCAAATTATCAGATAGCATGGAGTGCCAGCAATTTACTCCCATTTCTACAAAGCTATCTCCATACACCTGAAGGCCCAGCCTCTTCAATATTTAATTTTACCTGAGACTAAGTAGAATATTTTTACTATACTTTTATTGTCTTTATGAGGACACTGAATCTAGTTCTCCATATAAGAGAAGCTACCAGAAGCATTAAACTTTAATTTTTTACAAAAATATTTGGTGGCAGCATATACAAACAAACATATATCTGCTCAGAACTTCTACATGTATGACTTAATGATATTGGTTACAAACTTCACAGTATGTCAGTATTTGCACTAAATGTCAGTATTCTGAGTCAAGTTGTGAATAGATGTCTCATGTAAGGGTGACATGAGATTTTTGGTATTTGAATATGACCTATAGCCTAAATCTTCCCAACATAGTATTATACCAATAGCAATAAACTACAATGGAAGAAACTTTACACCTTTTCTTTTCACTAGAGAAGATAATTCCAGTTTTCAAACTTTGTAGTTACATCTTATTTGCTTACTCTTTGTTTGATACAAAAAGTTCTTAAATTATTGATTGTTAAATACATAAATGTTGGCACCTCTCCTAATGTTTTGTTTCTTTGGTTTATGGAGCCTCCACCTAACCTATCCAATGTGTATTATGCTCCTTGCTGAAGTTGGGAACATAAAAGAAAAAATTCATGCAAACTGCTGTATGATTGTGCTGTGGGGGGAAAAAGGATGTTTTCTATTTTTTTTTTAATCCACAAATTATTTTGGCACAGCCACTTTATGTTTTCACAACTAACACTGTAAGCAAATTTTCTTTCTCAGGAAATGAAATTGTAGAGATAATATTTACGGTGCTACATTATTACAGAGGGAGCTCAGATGGTGTAGTCCTCAGGGAGTTGTGTTGCTGACCCAAAGACCCCTTTTCTCTGGTGGTTCCAATTCACCCGCACCTCATAGGGAATGTATGGGCAGTCTCCTCTGGTGAGATTTACAGCCTCAGTAAACATGCTAAAAAGAATATATGATTGGGTACTATACCTTTGATAATAGCCCAGAATAAGAGGTGTATTATTGCAAATAGGACTGATAGAGGGAAGGTAGGTAATTGTGCAGCAATGAATGGAGATATGTGTGTGTGTGTGTGTGTGTGTGTGTGTGTTTTAAGTAAATTTGGGGAGGAGGAAGTGAAGGAGGGGGTAAAAAGTGTAACAATGAATGAATGAATGACAATCTGACTTCTCTAAACATTCATTAAAATCACAATTAAAATTTTATTTTTTAAAAAAGACACACTAGAGGGTAAGCTATGAGTTGGCTCCAACTTGATGATAATGAGTTTTTTAGTTTAAAATATTATAACAACACTCAGCAGAATAACAATTGATTGGTATTTAAAACCAAAAAGGAGAAAAACGAAATGAGTACATATGTTCTTTTTAAAAAAATAAAAAAGCGTAGAAGTTCTTGCAATGGTGAATAACGCTGCTGAGAGCAATGGTGTACAAGTCTCCGTTTGCGCCTCAGTTCTCATTTTCTCGGGGTATATTCCAAGCAGTGGGATAGCTGGGTCATATGGAATTTCTGTGTTCAACTTTCTGAGGAAACGCCAAACTGCCTTCCGGAGTGGTTGTACTATTTTACATCCCATGAGCAATGTTTAAGAGTTCCTATCTTGCCACATCCTCTCCAACATTTATTATTTGCTGTACTGTTGAACTTTGCCACTGCTAGTGGAGTGAGGTAGTAAACCAGTAAAAATGAAATTTTTTTTTATAAAAGCATACACTTGTTCAAGTCACTTATAAATTCTCCTGTATGGTGTGATAATGCACCTTCTACATTTGTTGTTTTATGATTTGCTTTGCCATTCCCTAGAACGACTACAGGAAACTGTCCATGCAGTGCAAAGACTTCGTCGTGGGCTTGCTTGATCTGTGCAGAAACACCGAGGAAGTTGAAGCTGTTCTGAACGGAGATGTGGAGACGCGCCATCCCTGCGGAGACCACGGCCGTCCAAACCTCAGCCGCCTAAAACTTGCCATTAAATATGAAGTGAAAAAAGTAAGGTCAGACAGGAAGCTCGGGTTACCTTATTTCATTTTTTATTTGGTGCTAAATAATGATGAAGGGCTGATATCATTAGATTTGAATTGGGCTTTTCTAGTTAATAATTAAGTTTACAGCACTCTCTCTAGTGAGTCATAGCCTCGTGTGAGGCATTCAAACTACAAGAAATGGCAATCTTTTAATGTCTAGACTTATTTATATAGTACATTACAGTCATTGTCCATTTTCTTAAACAATTATAGTATAGGAATTGTGTGTAACTAACAAAGTTATTACTCCATTTTATAATTTTTATGTGACCAAATCCTTCAATTCCTCCTTTCAGTGTATTTTGATCCTTTCAGACTATATATGTGGAATACTTTGAACCTTGCTCTACATAATGTCTCCCCTTAGCCGCTTTCTTAAGTTAGTTATGTTTTGTGGTTTGTTTGGGTTTTTTTAAAGAAAACCATTTCTAAAAACTCATTTTTATAGTGAAAATAGTACCTACGTACAGGGTGGTACACTGCTAACTGAGAAGCCCACACATCTCCAGCATTGTTGTAGCAGCAGCTCTGCTGGAGAAAGATGCAGCCCTCTTCCCACTAAGATCCACAATTTTGGAAACCCTATGGAGTGTTGGCTATAAGGCAGAATTGAGTCAATTATTTTTATATTGAGTTCCGGTAAGTTTTCTAACATGTATAGTCATGTCCCTTTTTTATCACCTCAGTTCTTAATGGAGGGTAGTTAAACACTGGTGGTCTAATGGATAAGAAGTTGTGTTGCCAGCTCAAAGAGAGGCAGTTCAAGTCTGTGCTGCAAGAGAAAGATAGGCAGTCTCCTCCTGTGCAATTTGCAACCTCCAAACACCCACTGGAGGGAGGGTTAGCTGTTGGTCAGTTTACTCAATAGAAATGAGTTTCAGTTACATTTCTCTCCACAAATTTATCTCTTGCACATCCTCATATATTAGACAATGCCATCTATTTTATTATTTCAAAGACTGCATTTGGTATGTTGAAAGGAAAGAGCTTCTGTTAAAATTATAGCCAAGTATGACACGAGTTCAGAACAAAGGCTCCATAGTGGAGTGGACTTGGGGACAGAGACTGTATAACAATGAAAGAATTTTTCTTTTACTTTTCAAAAAGAAGAGAGAACTGGGGGGAAGGGGTGGCCAGGGAGAAAAGTGCAACAATGAAGGAATGAAAATCCAAAGTCTCTGTAAACTTTCATTAAAACTAATAAAGAAAATTTAAAAAAATTATAGCCAACTAAATCCTGAGAAGCAGTTGACTCTGTAACCAATGGGATTGATAGAGTCAGAGTTGACTCAATAGTAACTGATAATAACATTGTTATATTATTATATTAAATCAATTAGATTATTATTTACTTGCGTCTCTTTTTTTCACTTGAGATTGACACAGTGACTGTTACAATGGGCTTGAGCATGATGCAGATTGTGAGAACGGCACAGGTTAGGACAGGGCAGTTAATAGCAACACTATGAATTATAGTGGACTCAATGACACCTAACAAAACCAACATTATCTGCTTCAGATTTTAGTAATTAGATGATGCTGCAATAGACATCCTTGTTTAGCTTGCTTCCATGAATTTTATTTCTAGATGAAATTACTACATTAAAAAAGTTTGTTTCCCCAATGCACCTGTTAAATGTCCATTTTTTAAAAGATGTACCGCTGTGCTTGCGTGTCAACCATATCTAACTAGGCATATTTCCTCAGCTCACAATGGATATTTTAAAACTTGATAGTTTTGACATTCTAAGAAGATAAAAATTATACCTCATTTTGATTCTTTCAGTAGTTAACCATTGTTAAGAATAATTTTTCTTTATATAACCTGTATATTAATTTAGCATTAAATTTGGGGTGTTGCTTTTTGTATCTGAAATAATGTAACCTTCCTTCATGCACAAAGTTTATTTGCAAAAGATAAATATCTGAGAAAATGTTTTTACTAAGGAATGTAAAAGATTTTTAATTGAAACTGCCTGTGGCACAAGAACAAAAAGAAATATCAATGAAACAGAAAGATAGGCTAGAAATAGAACTATATATATATTCAAATATATTATCAATGGGATTAGGTCAGTGAAAGAAAAGTGATATTTGAAAAGATAGTATTCTGAGAGCTGTGCTAGATAGGAAAATAATATATAACCATAAAAGCATTTATGTAAAATATGAATTAATCTTTTTATAATGTTAAAGTTCAAGCATGTTTCCATGCTTTGAAAGAAAGCCAATTTATCCTATAGAAAAATTTTGATGAATTGGATCTTCCAAGTTAAATATCAATTTAGAAATCCCTGCATCTTGAAGCCCATATTAACTAGATGTTTTATGTTTGTTCTTTAATTCTACTAGTATCTCTCCATGAGAAATCACAGAGCTAAACATTAAAACACACAAAAGTGGTTTATGTGGAACTCTTCTTTAATCAAGCTGCTAAACACTTTGTCATCTTCTTGCTAGTTTGTAGCGCATCCAAACTGCCAACAGCAGCTTCTCTCCATATGGTATGAGAATCTTTCTGGTTTGCGGCAGCAGACCATGGCCGTCAAGTTTCTTGTGGTCCTCGCCGTTGCCATCGGACTGCCCTTCTTGGCCATCATTTACTGGTTTGCTCCATGCAGCAAGGTATGCCTATAAAACCCAAGCTACTATCTCTTCTAAAATTACAGCCAGTTGTACGTATCAGAACCAGGTAATCAAAGAAAAATTTCATTTCCAAGAAAAATTTTTCAAGGAAATCATAGATATGTTTATGATTTTAATATTATAAACTAAAACAGATTTACTATAAAAAATACAAGAGGGAAAATTCATATTACTAATTGGATTGTTAGTGTGTGAAAGAAAAATTTCAATTACGATGTTTACTACTCAGTTACAACTAGGTATATTTTCTTTCAATTATCTGTCTAAACATACCTACGCATGCATTTTTATATTGCTCTGGTAACCTAGTGGTGAGAAACTGAGCTACAACAAAGGCATGCAATTTGAATGTTGGGCAATCTCCTCCCATGCAATTAACCCCTCCTGAAAACCCATTGGAGGGTCACCTATGTTCCAACTCAGTGGTACACAACAATCACAAGAAAGCAGCAGATATTTCTCATTTAGAAAAACTTGAGATGGAAATTTTCAGTTTGTATTTCCTTAAGCTAATATGACCAAAATTATAACACATATAAAGGACAACCATGTAAAATTGTATGTAATGCTTATTTTTAGGGAAAACAAAAAAACCTCAAACTCATTGCCCCCAAATCAGGGCCAACTCGCAGCTGACACTCCAAGGGACTTTCAGAGTCTGTAAATCACACAGGAGGAGATTGCACATCTTTATTTATCAGAGTTCCTGGTGGATTTGAACCTCCAGAAAAGGCCTGCTTTGGGGTTGGCAGCGCAACTCCCTGTCAACTACACCACCAGAGCTCTCTTGCTTTAGTGAAAGATAACTTATTTTAGGAGTGGAATCTATGAGAGTAGATTCTTCCCATTAGAGCCAAGGGAGCAATTTTTAAAAAGTAAAATCCATATTCTCAAGGTTTTGTGAAAATAATGAATGGACATAGTCTTTCAAGTTTGAGAAATATTGACCCACAATTCTCTTAAGGAACATGAAAATATGTCCTACATTGACAATAGCCTTAGCCTACATGTTCTTGAAGTCACATTTCTGGATCTGCTTAGGTTTCAACTCCAGTACCAAAACAAAACAAAACAAAACACCCCATACAAAAACTTCAGTTCCATCAAGTCAGTTCTAACTCATAGCAACATTCCATCAACTCTCCAAAGTGGGAAATCTTTATGGGAAACGGTTGCCCATCTTTCTGCCACAGGGATACTGGTGGACTTAAAACACTGTCCTTTCATTTAGTCAATTAGCATATAACACACTATGCCATCAAAATTCTTATACTGCTTAAAGACAGACTGACATTATATCTAAAGTTATATGGTGAAAGTGGATGCTGAACCACCTGTTTATGTGCTGTGGATTAATATTAGTTCCTTCACTTGCTATCCTTAAACACAATTTTCACACATTTGTAACACATGAGTTTAAATTCACAAAGTATATTGTCTTCTTCTTATAAACTATATATTTGGTGCTTTATCTGTATAGGAACACTTCTAAGTAGCTTACCATGTAGAAAGTCTTTATACATAGTTATTGTTATGTGTCTTTGAGTTGGAACAAATCTCTCCTTTACATGAAATAGATGTTTTGCTACTGTTGTTGTTTTATTTTCTTTTTCTTTGGTTTTGGGGTTTGTTTATTTTTTGTTGTGGTTTTTTAATGGGAAAGATTGTTCACACTAAATTGAAGTTTTAACAGTAAAATCTAGCATAGTTACACTGAATTGCTTTTGTAACATGTCTAAATAGATGAATCCATTGATTGAACCCAAATTAAACCTTTTTTTTCACTTAGAGAAGACCAAATATGTGTGTGTGCGCACACACACACACACACGAATATACACATGAATATTCCAACATATATGTGTGTATGTGCATAAGACTAATATAAAATTCTAAGTTCCAACTGCAAAGAGATTGAATCCAAAAAATGCAGTATATGCCAGCTTTAACTTTTATGACATTTGAAGACTATATAGATGAAGAAAGGTCATAGTAACAGAGAACATGGACTACACTATTTCCATTGTTTTAACTTTTAGTTTCCAAGTAAGATTTTCAAGTAGATATTCAACTTTTAGGATTAAAATGAATAATAAAACCTTTTTAAAGGAATATACATTTGTGCTTATTAATAAGAAAATATGAAATTATTTTGTCAAACAAAAGTAAGGTCGTGATGAGTCAACATTGACTCAAATGCATCAGCATTGGTTTTTGTTTGTTTTCTGCTTGATTGGAGATTTATGTATACCTGTGGTATACATAACAATATCTTTTATGTTTTCTACAATTTATATACTCTAATTCTCATAGAATGAGGCTGATTCATTCTAGTTCATTCAGATAATAAAGCAATGAAATCAGGACTTGTTCTTAAAATACTTGACTTTAAATTGTGTCATCTCTGAATATTTTTCCAATACACATGAATCTTATGCTATTTAAGAATCACTAGGACAACAGAATCAGCTGAAGCCTGAGTTGTACCCATGTACATGAAAGAAAGGAGAGCTTTGGTAGTGTCTCAGAACCATGGGGAGTTGCCCTGTAACCCAAAGGCCTAGCCTCCAGCTGTTCAAATCTACCTGCAGCTCTTAGGGAGAAAAAAGGGCAGTCTCCTCCCTTTTGATTTACAGATATAAAAACCCTCTGACGGGTCAGCTGTGAGTTGGTTTCGACTCAATGGCTCAATGAAAGAAAATGAGGTTAACAGTAAAAAAATCTATACCTTGTGAAGTAGTTTAATTTTTTTAAAAATTAATGTTTCTTCTGTACTTTATGACAAGTGTGCTCATTTGCTTTTTTGTAAGCGTTGTTGATATTGTCCTGCATTTTGTAATCAGTATCGCTCTGGTGGCCTAGTGGCAAGAAGCTGCTTAGCAATCCTGAAGACATGCACTTCGAGGCCACCAGCTGCTCTGTGGGAGAGGGACGGGCAGTCTCGTCTTGTTTGATTAACTGTCTCTGAAAACCTGCTGGAGGGTCACCTACGGGTCAGTTCTGACTCTATGGTTCACAACACACACAATAAATATCATTTAATTGGAGAGATAACTTACATGATTACTAGCAAGCTTGGCTGTATAGGTGGATAAGGAACGTGATGGCAAATTTAAAATATCTAGTTTTATATACAGATTTATTTTAGGAATATGCAGATGCTTATTTTTGTGAATGAGTGTTTTGTGAAGTGAACCCAACAACGGTGATTTTTCTTATGCAGATGGGGAAGATAATGCGTGGCCCATTCATGAAGTTTGTAGCACACGCTGCCTCCTTCACCATTTTTCTGGGACTGCTGGTCATGAATGCAGCTGACAGATTTGAAGGCACCAAACTGCTTCCTAATGAAACCAGCACAGATAATGCCAAACAGCTGTTTAGAATGAAAACATCCTGCTTCTCATGGATGGAGATGCTCATTATATCCTGGGTGATAGGTAAAGACTGATTTTCTGTCACTTCTTTTTGTAGCCTCAGCAGTTGGAGTGAATGACGCTAATTCCTTCACACATCAGTCATACTAATGTATGCGGCGTGCCATAATGCGCCACAAGTCATGATTTTCTTTGTGTTGTTAAAAGCATGCCTTGTGTTTGCTATCAGTTTTAGCCATAGTCTCCTCATGCCATGTGCTTCTTGCACTTACAAGAATAAACCAGAAAGAAAACCGAAAGGAGAGTCTTACTAATCAAGCTTATTGCTGTTATGGGCTGTCGAGTTGGAACCAACATATAGCTGACTGTTGAGAGGATTTTCAGAGGTAGTAAGTCTCATGGGTAGCCACTAGGCCACAAGAGGTCTCTTATAATAATGTACTGAAGTTTTTGTGAATTAACTTAGTAAACACATATAAAGTGCTTAGTATGACAGTATACTAGGCCACACATCAGTAAAAAAAAACAACCCTGCCATTCATGTTTTTGATTTAAAACTTAAAAACAGCCACATGATGGTACATTTAATAGAAACTGAAGTAAATAAATAGCAGCTCACATTTGTGGGTTGCTGATAATGTCTCAGGGATTGTTTATGTCATGTCATTTGTTTTTACTTCTGTTTCCTAGTATATAACATATAGTATCATAAATTTATGTTTCATGTGAGAATTAAGTAACTTGCTTTAGATTTCCCAGGTAGTACCTGAAAGATTAGAGTCCCCAGCTAGCACAAATTGTAACATGCTTAACTACTAGCCAAAAGATGGACAGTTTGAACTCATCTAGTTATTACTTCTAAGACTGGCCTGCGATCTGCTCCCCAAAGGTCACAGTTTTGAAAACTCTATAGATGAATTCTTCTCTTCACACTGGGATTGCTGAGAGTTAAAATGGATTTAGTGCAACTAACAACAATAACAAACCAAAAGAGAAAGCATTTAGTGTTAACCACTACACCATTTCTCTTTAGAATCCGTTAAACATATACCTTATAATAGAAATGAGACAGATGATTTACTCAAATAATTCTGAAAAAATAAACTCAATAGCAAGGATTTCTTGAGGCTTAGTAATTAAACAGCTTAGCTGTTAGCCAAAAAAGTCAGTGGTTTTAATCCAACAGGTCAGCATTTGTGGAAACATGTTGTTGTTGATGGATAGGAAGACTCAGTTTTATGAAAATGACAATCCTAACAAAAGCAATCTTCATGTTCAACACAATCCCAATACAGATACAAAATTCAGTTTTCAAGGAGAACAAAAAGGAAAAATAGTCATGTTTATTTGGAAAGGAAAGAGACCTTGAATATGCAAAGAACTTCTGAAAAACAAAAATGAAGTAGGAAGCTTAGCATTCCCTGGCCTCAAAACCTATAACCCAGTGGTAGTAACCAAAACAGCAAGGTGCTGGTACAATGACAGACACATGGACAAATGGACCACAATTGATAACCCAGAAATGGGCCCAGCTGTCTATGTTCAATTTATGTTCAACAAGGAAATAACACCTATCAAATGGGGAAATAACCTCTTCAACAAATGGTGCTGGCAAATCGGACTGCTACCTATAGAAAGCTGAAATAGGATACACATCTTACACCATAAACAAAAATCAACTCAGGGTGGATCAGAGAACTGGGAGTAAAGCCCAAAACCAACAGGATCATCAGAGACAAACTGGGACAATCTTAGAAAACTTATTCTATGGTATAAAGAGACATTTCAGTCCTGTTCTGCTTTTGTGGGCTCTGTCATACCTGAACCAGGAACAACCAGTTTGAAGCCCTGGTTTATAAATGACTTTTTATTATTTCCTACTGAAGATACACTAAACAAGATTAGACTCTTTTTGGATCACAAGATGGAACTTTGAAAATTTAAGTTTCACATATGAGTGGCTTATGTATAGTTAATGTATTTCATTTGTTACTATAATTTATTATTCTCATGATAGTAAAACAATTTTAAAAGTAAACTTTAGATTTTTTTAAACTTAGAAACCTACCCTGAATGTATTAAATTAATCTTTAATTTTATGAATAAAATTCTTTTCCTTGTAACTCTTATTCTGCTAACCTTTGTATTTGACTTCAGAGATCATCTCAGAATGTTTATTTAAAGGGAAATAGTTAACAGCTCAGAACAGATGGCTGATTCTCATATAACTTATGTTAGGCCCCTGATTCAGTACTGACACGGAAATTTTCTTTTTCCTTTTAGAAGAAGTTGTTCTTGAAAGAATGTTGTTATACCTTTTGGAAATATTAGTAAGAAGTGACACACTTAGGTCAGATGTTGGCTGTATTATGTTGGCTTCAGGAAAGATATTCATATATTGGTCATAGAAAGTCAATCTATCAAATTTGCAGTTGACCAAAAATTGAAAGGCTGAATTAAAAAAAATAACAGTCAAGGGGATCTTGACCAGCTCAGTGGTGAGCCCAAACCAAGGAGAGGTGGTATTGGAGGAACCTAAGCACATTTCCTTGGCAGAAGCTGCTTCATATGAAAATGCCCTGTTGGTGTTATGTGTTGCGGAGTTGGAACCAGCTCACAGCAGACCTTCCAGTTGGTTTTCAGAGACTGCTAATCACAGGGGTGGAAAATGCCCATCCTTCTCCATTAAAGCAACTTGTAGGTTCAAAGAGCCAACCTTTGGGTTGACAGCACAACTTCTTACCAGTATGTCACCAGAGCTCCTAGAAAATGTCCTAACAAGTACTTTTTACTTTAATGCGTCATGTAAACTGCTGAGAGACTAAACACAGTCCTGGATTGACTCTTCAACAAACAGGGACTATCACAGCACACTTAAGGGCTGTAATTAGCCCATTTCCCGGGCCTTTGACCAAACACATTTTTAAGACTGTTCTTGATTCTGGGTGCTACATGCTAAACAAGAAAATGACAAAATAATGTGCATCCCCTAAACATCAACTGGAACAGTGAAAATGAAATTCTAGTTCACCCCTCCATAGAAAATCACTTGAGGGGATAGGGAAGCTTAGCCTGGAAGGAGGGGTGGGAAGGGGTCTGTGTATTGTGAGGCTTGAAGCTTATTTATTTGGAGGGTGTCGTTTAGAGAAAAAGAAAACCAAACTGAGCCTTAGAAGAAGCTTGTGCAAGTGAGGCATCCTCAATGGAAGCTTCATTAACCTCGCAGTAAACCCACATCTGTTGGAGAAGAATAAATAGATTTAATGAGCACACAGGTGGCTTTATTCCCCCCCAAGAAATTGAAAGGGAGAGAGAGCAGATTGATTCTCCACTGTTCCAAAGGGAAGAAATAGCACCACTTTGAAGGGGTGCACGCTGAGAATGTAACAATGGAGCGTGGAGCGAGCAGCCTTGAGAAGCACAAGCCTTTCATTTCTCGGTGTCCTCTGGAAGAGGCTGAACTCCATGAAGTGTCCCTGCTTGCTAGACAAGTTGTGCCTTTGGGTCTTTATAGGCAGAACAGGCCACAGTGTTTTATTGTTTATGTTTTTAGTAAGGCATAATTTTTATCAAGAATTTTGCTTCTTTAAAGAAAGAGAGAAAGGGGTTAAGGGAAGAGAGTCGAAAACCACTAGACTATTATTAGGCTAAAGGTTGAAAGACAAAGATGCTTCGAAAGTCAGTAGGCTGGAGCTCAGGTAGCTGGTTGTTGTTTGCCGTTAATCTGGCCCATCCTTCTCTGGTGTCTTAGAGGTAAGGAATTTCACTGGGCACGCAAAGCTATGTAGTTCAAATTCACCAGTTGCTCCATGGGAGAAAGATGAGCAGTCTCCTCTCATTTGAAGACCCTCTGAAAACCCACTGCAAGTCCAGCTATTGGTCGTTTCTGGCTTGACAATACACAACAACAAGCAATATTAAATATCTGCTTAATCCCCTTGTTTCCTAATGTATCCCTATTTCCCGCTGAGAGACTACTGAAACCCCAGGGGCCACCAAATGAAAACTGCCTTCAGTTTTTTTCATATTTTCTCATAGTCACATGTGTGCGGAGGTTGTGTGTGGTGGACATATGCATATATGGGCTTTCTTTATTGTTTAACTTTTATTTTATAGTGTTTTGCTTACAATGTTCATATGTATTGTGTGTCCTACTATTTTTCATTCACATTGATTCATACAGTCATTCCCATGCATTGTGTTTTATAAAATTTATCACTATGACACTTTGCCCATCATTATCCTGTCTTTTTCAAGTCCTCATCAAATCCTTCCCATTTCCTTAACCCCTTCCCTCCACCCACCAAATTGTGCAACCCTGTGATTTTACCCTTACCCATCCTCACCCCTCTGCTTCCACCCCATCTCCCCTTGGATCCTTAATACATCTTTTGCTAGTTACCCTTCAATTTTCACAATAATGGTCTTATTCAGTATTTGTCCATATGTGACTGAATTAGTTCATTCACTCAGCATAATGCTTTCTATTCTCTCCCAAGTTATGTTGTATTTTTATAAAATTGTTGTTCTTGAGTGCTACATAGTATTCCATTGTGTGAATGCACTACAGTTTCTCAATCTACTTGTTTGTGGTGGGACATTAGAGCTGTTTTCATGTTCTTGCGATGGTGAATAATGCTGCTACGAACGTTGATGTACAATCTCCATTTGTGTCTCAGCTCTAATTTCCTCAGAGTATATTCCTAGTAGTGAAATAGTTGGGTCATACAGAGTTTGTATATTCAACTTTTTGAGGACTTCTAGAGTGATTGTACCATTTTACAATCCCACCAACAGTGTGTGAGTTCCCACCTCTCTTCCTCCCCTCCAACATTTATTACTTGATGTCCTCCAAAACATTGCCACTGCCATTCGGGTGAGATGTTGTCTCATTGTGGTTTTGATTTGCATCTTTCTTATTGCCAGTGCTTTTGAGCACTTCTTCATGTGTCTGTTGGCCATTCAAATATCTTCCTCTGTGAAAATTATTTCCAGGCCTTCTGCCCATTTTGCAATTGTGTTATCAGTCTTTTTCTTGTAGTATTCTGTAAACTTTAGTCATG